CCTTCCAGAAAAGAGGTAGAAAAAAAGTTTTGCAAATATGGCGAACAGCTGAAATTCTCCATCAAAAAAAAAAAAAAAAAAACTCAAAATAAGGGTGAAGGAATTTGTATATGTCACACAAAGTACATGTCACAAAATAATGTATTTTTTGTTAATCCCTGTGAGGTCGGCTGTCCCTATACCGACTGTCACGCAAAGAATTTGGGACAACCGTATAGCTTCAATTTTTATTTTACAGTTCACGCTGAGACAAACAAAATGCAGCACAAAGATGGAAAATCTTCACAAGGGGAACCTCTGTTCACCTCTTTGTGGCGATAAACACGGCCCAGGAAGTGAGCTGGTGGGAGATGTTTGACTCATCGTTTTGTGGGTGGGTCATCAAAACAAGTGGTCCTCTTAATTGTCAATCATTCAGGTGATGTTTCCTCATCCCCATTTTCACTTACAAATCTTCTTTTGGAGAGTAAGTTTGTATGAGTGATGCAAAGAGCAACTTTTAAACTTAGCATGCCCAAGGAGAAATGGGTTCGTACATGCTCTTGCACGCGTTTAAAAGGGGTTCCCTCTCAGGAGCCGGTACAGGGTTGTGCATGCATGTGCATTTTTTTTTAAGTGGAGAGGGCGGGTCTTTTTAAAAATTAGCAAAAATCCTCCACTATACCTTTAAGTTAATAAGTCTTGAGGCTAAGTTCGGTCCATGCCTCAATTTTTCAACCCAGTTCTGAGCTGCTTAATGGGAATCCCTCCTGAGCACCAATCCTCTCTACCACACCTCCCTCAACAAGCCCCCAGTATCCCCTTTCCCTCAATGCGGTCTGCTTACTCTGACATTGCAAGCCATTCAGTTACCCTCCTGATTATCCAATAACCACTTCTCTCCTTGTTCAGCTGCTGTTGAATCACCAACACTCAAGCTTACATTCTGAATGTTTTTCAGGAAACTCTCTAGAAACATGAAAGAACCAGAGTTTTTAGGTTAACACTTCCTGATTGCTTAGTTGATGACGCCAAACAAGAAAGGGTGTTTCCCTCAATTACTTCCACAGATGTGCCTTCATTCAATTTGTTGTGAAATTAACCCATAATTAACCTTACAAGCCACAAACATATCATATGATCTTTCTCTGAGATGGTTTTTAGACATATATTCTAATCTTATGTAAATCCCTGACAGAAAACAATCAGGCATTGCATAAAACATTTTCTCTTGTTATGTTTTTTATCGTAAAAAGAGATTATTTTAATAATCCGAAAAATACCTAATGAAGAAAAAAGTCAGAATCTTTTAAATGTTTGTACTTGTAAGGCTATGAATAGTTATAAAGGTTTCACCTATTCATCATTAAAATGATTAATAGGTAATAATCATTTTTAGCAAATAAAATACAAGTAATATTACTATTTTATGCATCCCTAAATCATTTATAATTTATACAACCAAATTAACAAACAAATAAAAGTAAAAAATTGTCATCTTAAATCAGAAAGAAACTCAAACGTCCTGTTTAACATTTGCAGCCTTCAGGATTAGAATAAATTCTTTTGTCAGTTGACATAAATTGTTTTGGCTCATTGACTGTATATTATCAAATAGGTCTTACAAGTTGTTTTCCCCTTGGATGCTTCCTACTTGTTGAAATGTTTTGAACGTCACTTTATTCCCATGTGCCTTTTTTTCCTCTCACTAAATTTTCCCTCTATCCTGTTTGCTCTGATTTGCTGTTATTCCACCACTCCTGAGGGAATCGTCTTTTTTTAGCTTTTACATGCCCTGTTCTGCCAAAATGCTGTCTTTGTCAATTATTTGGTTGTGATTAGATAAGTGAGGGTTGGTTTTATCGTGGCATTTCCGCTGTTAATAATGAGGCAATGTCTATAGAGAAAACACACATGCTAAAATAGATATCCAAGGTTGAAACTTGACGAAATACTCTATGTCAATGATGTTTAAGGGTTGTAGCAACTACTTAATCCCATTAAGAAGATATGGTGAGATGATGAGGCTGGCACAGATTTCAAGTGAAACAGTCACAAGCTGAGAATTTCTCAGCAGGAACATGGCCATTATTTGTCTGCATGCACTGTGTTCTGGACAATTGCAGGAAAATCCGTTAACGCACGATTCCTGTGACTGACAGCGTGATTCTGATCGTGTCTGGTTTGTTATCTTCACCTCTGTGGGTTAAGCTGTTTGTTTTAATCTTCATTTAGCTCAATTAGGCGGTCGATCCCCTGACTAAATTCACAGGCTGCGCTGTACACGGTGGTTACCAAATCTTTCCAGACATCAGCAGTGGAAATACCCTCTGCCACATATTTTTTTCAAGGGTGAGCTGGCAGTAGGACTTTGTGTTTGTCTGCAGAGCAACTTGCTGGAGATTTTATAACACCTATGTGCACCAGAATCTACAATATGAATGCAGTGCAGAAGTATTCGCACCCCGTGAACCTGTTCAAGTTACAAGTTGCTGCTTTAATGTTTCTCTTTAGATTATATTACTAACCAACAAAGTGGAAAGTCATTGGATGGGTGGAAAGATAAGAATGCATGGTTCTTGGATGGTGAAAAGTGAAGTGAAGATTGGTATCCTGTAATCTTCAGGCAACATTTTTAGAACAAAATTTCAATGTAAATAGACTATACTTCTCTATACTATACTGCTGCACATCCAGCAACTGTCATTTTAAAACTCCTTACTTGACAAAATAGCTCCAACTCTGTCAGATTCAATGAGGAACATATTCTCAGTTGATTTAGGGCTGGACTTTTTGTTGGGGTGTTTCATTGTACCTGTGTATTCCTACTTTATTTCCAAAGTCTTAAGCCTGTAACAACAGATTTTCTTCCTGTATTTTCATGTGTTTAGCTCTCTCCATCTTCACATTGCATCTGACGAGCTCTCCCGATCCTGCTAAAGAAGCATATTACTACAGCATAATGCCACCTCTTTGAAAAGAGCTTATCTGGGGAGTGCCCAATTAGTATTTGTCATAAAATTCCACTTGGGAGATTCTCCCACTTGAGCGGAGGATCTCTGTAGCTCCTCTAGAGTTACCTTTGGCCTCTTAATGCTTCCCTGCCTGTTATTTCAGGCATGTCATTATGCCTAACTCTTCAAAGTTTTGGATTATGATCAGACTGGACCCTTGTGAGATGTTCAAAGTTTCAGATGTTTTACTTAGAATTCAACTGTACCAAACTCTCTATAGCTGTTTACCTAAAATGCTGTTTGTAACCTTATTTTCTTCACTAAACCTTTAAAGAGGCATGTAAAATCTATCAGATAGCCATTTTATTTGGCCCTTTACGACAAAAGAAATTCTTTGATGAGCACACGTTCACCTCAATAGCTCAGAGTTGATGCATCTGAAGCCTATTTTCCGGAATGTACCGTGGGTCAGAAGTTCCTGCGCTGTTCGGTGGTTGTGGCCTCAAGCCCGTCCAAACAAACAAATAATTAAAGGGTTATATTTGAGATAGATTTTGTTGAGACCAACGTGTAGCTAAACTAAGACACGAATGGTAAGTCCAACTAAGGTGAGAACAGTAAAAAACTAACCTTGTCAAATACGAGCATGAGCTAAGAGGATGAGCAGAAAATTGCTGCAGTTTTGTGTTTTGGCCACGGGTGGCAGTATCATTAGATAACTCTGTAATGTCTCTTTAAGGCCTTCACAGAAGAGCTAGATTCACACAGCTGGACTCTGTTTACTAATTTACTGACTTCTAAGGGTAAATGGTTTCCCTTTATGTAGATGAAATGCTAAGCTCACTTTTCAGATTCTTATTACTAAGACATATAATGAAGCAAAGTTTAACTTCTACTTTCCTGTTGTACTTTGTGTTGCATTGCAGGGACTCTTTGCATTCATCACACACATATATTACTGTTTCCTGTCTTAAAGCTTCCCAAACTGGTCAACGAATGGGGGAAGAAACTGCAGAGTACATGCTCTTCCCTCTCTTCAGACCATGCCACTCCTTGTTCCCCCTTTTTTCCTCCCCCTCTTCTTCTCCTTTTTCTCCTTGCTCCAGTGTGGAAAATGCGGCATCACTGAAACCACCTTTCTAACCGTCCAAGTCTCCTAAAATAAAAAAAGTAGCCCTACCCTCTGCTTTTATTCTTCCCTCTCGCTTTCTCTCTGATTTTGTTTCTCTTCTTGTCAGTGCCAAACAGCTCCACCCTGCACGGCACACAGAAGCTGGAATATGAGCTTGGTCACTGTGATCCTACTTCTTCTTCTCTTGAATTCATGTTAAGTTCATACGAACATGCATGGCCCAGTCCCTTTCTTTGCCTCTGAGTGTCATCATTCAGACCATAAGTGGGTGGGGGAATGTGAATACACTCCCAAGGGATGCAACAGAGAAGGCTCTTTGGCTCCCTTTGCAAATCATCCACAAAAGTTACCAACATCACAAGACTGATATTGTGTCATAGTTTACAGCGTGTGGGAATATAACAATAATCTTTTGCTCAAAACAATGCAAGCCTACCTAAAATACATATAAAAAGGTCCTGTGTTAAAATGTGGATGCATTATGCTTATTCATTCCCACTTATATGAAACCCCAAAACTACAGTTACTTTTACTTCCACTTTGTCAAAGTGAATTCTGCTACATATACATTTTTGTCACCTTTCAGATGTAAATTTCTTAAACAAATAATACAACAAATGTGCATGATTTTTTTTTTCCATTTCACAATTATATGCTACCTGGAATTGGTTTGTCACCTCAAAGTTGAATATAAGACATACTGATTTTAAAGTTAAGGAAACTTTCTAGAAACATTAAAGTACTGATTTAAAGGTTAACACTTCCTGATTGCATCAAGTTGAAATTTCAAGCTGTGTTGATGCTGTTGCACTGCAATGCTAATTTAAGTCAGTTATTATTAGAAACCTTTATATGAATTTTATGAAAAGGGGAACTAGCTTGATGGAGTCTCTTTCTCAATCAAACAAAGACTCCAATAAAACTCAGAGGCTTACCATGACTTCAGTCAGGAATTCCTACATGGTCCTCAGTTCCTTTCCCTGGCTCCGCTTCCTCTCTGCATTGTCCACAAAACTTTCTCCCCTCACTTATCATCCACTCGCATCATATCCTTCATCAGATGTTGCTCCAGCATAAATGTTTTGCCTTTTCAAAAAGGAGCTTTAGCCTATAAAGAGAAGAACTAACATTTCCTCCTCTCTTCTCCTCTACAGTCTGCACTGGATTTCCCAGAGTGGGAATGTCCAGGCAGCATTTTCATTTCCCCTCCCCTCTCTGACTGCCCCGGCAGTTACACATGCTTCCACCCCCCACCCCCGCCTCCTCTCACCTAACAGAAGCACTACAGTCCGTCTCAGCTCTCAACTCTCAAATTTTCCACTTTTTGCCCTTCCTCCTCACCAACTTTAATGAATAGACAATGAAAACCCCACCCAGCCTTAGACTCCAAAGAACTGTTTTTGCCATCATGCTATGTTGATAGGATTGCATGTTGTTGAATTTATGTTTTAATTAGGCTCAGTTTCTTAAACAAGAAAAAAAACAAGCTGCACATTCAAGTTTGCAGAAGAATGTCCTATCTAAACGCTGTCATATTGGGTCACACTACGGCCCCAAACCTCATGTAGTTATTGCAGTAAACACATTACTGCAATGATCTAAACAGATGATGATTGGTACATCGTCTGCACACTGATAGAGTACGACAGCTTAGTCAATCTTTTCTACGGTCAGTCCTCAAGGGTCAATGTTCTTCGCGATTCCTTTGTGATCCATGTGAGAGCTAGATTACATGCAAAGAAACACTAAAATTATTTGAATCAGGGAATAGGCCATGTTTGAGGAAGCACAGATCCAAAACCTGTGGTACACCAGCCCTTGAGGACTAGAGCTTGAACTTGTTCTGAACTGACCGGCCACACTGCAAAAAGAGGCAAGAAAGACACTTTTGCAAGAAGGGTCAAAGGAAAAACAAGTTGAAAGACAATTTTTTATTTTTCAGATAACACCAAAATTGAACTGGCACAACACCACAAGGTGGACACACTACCCACATTTGGAAGCATGGGATTGAAAGCATCATCCTGTGGGAAAGTTCTCTTTAGGTAAGACTGCAAAGCCCCTCAGATTTGATGGGCAAATGAAGGGAGCTAAATACGTAAGGTTTGATGCAAGAGGAAAACCGATTAGAGGCAAGAAAAGATTGAGACTGGGTCAGATGTTAAGCCTCCACCAGGAGGAAGAGCTACAATGGAACAGCTCATTTGAAAGAATTGTTGCAATGTTATGTGTTAACGGCCAAGTCAAACTCCAGACCTGTATTTGATATAAAAAAAATTGTGGATCTAAAGATCTAAAAGCTGATTGTCATTGTTACTGTTTCAGTTCTTGCTTATGCACCACTTGTTCCATTCAGTAGCTCTGTTTTTGATTAGCTCCTTACTGGTCTGCTGCCTCAGCTTTATACACTCGCTCTTCTGTCTGCCAGACCATTTGTGGCTTTTAGTGTCAGAGCTCCAGTATTGTCAAGTTTACATTCATGTGTCAAGTATTTTTAACTCAGTCCCCCACCATCCAGTGAAAGATCAAGTTTCAGCATCTTTGTGATAATTAATCCAAGCCTTATCCTTCTTTCTTATCTGACAATCAATTGTTAATGCTTAATGCTTGGTCTGAGCCAGTAGAGTAAAACAGTGTCAAGGCTCAGAACAGGGGGCACTGTATTCAAGGCAGACAGGCAGTCTGATAATTCAGAAGCGTTTATTTCAAACCTGCACATCTGCAGTACCAGCGAGGACATCTAAGGCAGGAACCTCAGCAGGAGGAAAACTCAGGTTAGTCACCACGTTAATCTGACGGAGGATGATTATGATCGTGTGAGTCACTAACCTGGTTTTCAGTGCCCAGAGAACTAAGTAGATCTGGGCAGACGGAGGAGGGCAGGAGAATCCAGATGGCGAAGCCAAAGCTGGTGTCAAGGATGCCCTCAGAATTCAGAACTAGGAGATCAGAAGTCCAAAAACGTTCTGAAGGGAAATTCGATTGGTGACTCAAAGTTCAGCAAACAGGCAAATCAGCAGTAGTCCATAGACAGGTCAGGCAGACATATCAGATTGGAAGAGGCAGGCTCAGTGGTTGAGAGGCAGAACAGGTCCAGATCAGGTAATCAGAAACACTAAGTAACCCTGAATCACTCTCACCACTGGCTCGAGAATAATCTCACCTGATGAATGGAAGCAGGCAGGTTAAAACTGATCAGATGGGATGTTTTTTGAAGAAGTTTTCAACTATACAGTCCAGTCAAATAAAACGGAGATTGGTGGATTTTACTCAGTCGACACTTTATTTACTTTATAAAGTAAAGGAGAACAACACATTCACATATCAGCATGATGCTTTGCCGTAATCTGACTAAACAGAGTTTGCCTCCCTTACTTATGCTGTTGGAAAATCTGTGAAGGTAAGCTCACAGTCAAACAAATTACACACACTTTAACAAACCTTGGGGAAACAATATGGCTTGTTGTGGGAATAAGTCTTGTCTAAAATCACTCCTCACTCAGACATTTTCTCAGCCTTACAGGTGAAATAAACTGAGTAAAAACATGTATCACTGGATAAATAGCATAACTAAAAATATGAGTAAAGAGAAATCAAAATTTTCCCACCACATGGGAACAGATAGGCTTAGTGGTTGAGAGCCAGAACAGGTTATCAGAAACACTAAGGTAACGCTGCAACACTCCCTCCACTGGCTCGAGAGTAATCTGGTGCTGATGACTGGTTAGTGGGCTGGTTAAACTTAAGCAGGAGCAGGTGGGTCAGATGACCAGTAACTAGAAACTGGGTGGATTTAGACAGGTGAATGAAATGAATAATTAAGTCAGTCATCAGCGCCAAGACTATGACAAACAATGTAACTGCTGCAAATCTTAAACAGTGTCCTTTATCAGTCACTGTTATTCTCTTATTGGAACCCTGTCATCAAGCGAAGAGAGAGATCCAGTCCCCTATTCATCACAGTCATTTTACACAAAGTTCTGAATCTTTCCTCTTGATGGATACAACCAAAGTAGTTAAGTTCCCTCTTTGCCCAACCAGAATATGGTGAAGTTGCTAGAGTCGCTACTAATTTTGGAGTTTGACAACTTTGCAAAAGGATTAGATTCCACACATCCTCCTCTGACTGATCTTAGACATTTTATAAAGAAGAATGGAAAACCTTAATCTAAAGTTCAAATCCCCACCTCAGGGCTGCTGAATACAAACACATATCAAACTTTTCAAAGTTTTATTTATAAAAAAAAAAATCATGTTTGGTTTTCCCGCTACTTTAAAATGCTCTATAATATGCACTTTTGGTATTGATGGATCAATTAAAATGTCAATAACATATCTTGAGGCTTTATTGGGGCAAAAAGTAAAAGTTTACAGGGTTTATGTTTTTGTGGTTAACTGTTTCACACATATTCAACAAGGTATGGTATTGGACAAATTGCATCCAGCGAGTCAGTCCACCTCCATCTTTTGCCCCAAACTGCAGAGAGGAGGAAAATGTTACTTTGTGAATTGTCTATGGCTAGCTGTAGCTAAAGGCTCAGTTCATATGTTATATAAGAGAAGACGTCAAAGGAAAAGTTGCACCTCAACCCATTTAGACAGAGGAAAAAAAGCAATGCAAAACAGATATGGGTTTAGTTTCATATAAATGTTGTGTTCCCCCTTGCAATGCCTCCATGGGCAATTGCCCAGCATGGCCCAAATGAACCACATGTCCTCTCCACTAGAATATAATTTACCCCTTGATCTCCATTTGAAAGTTTGGAGCTTCATTTACATCTTTTTAGGTTAAACTGTTTTTAGGTTAAACTAAAGCTTGTCATGAATAATCGTCTGAGGGATCTATAAACTCTAGTGTAATAAAACATAGGAATAGAATAATGGCAGTTATTCATGCACCTCCAGAGCTATTGTCAGATGTGTTGTTCTGTATAGCAGACCAACCCATGGGTAAAGTAGCTGAGTCTGCACAGTCACAGATGTTTGACCCACACATGGACCCAAGAGACCTCGAGCGGGCCTGTGTCAAACCAGGGATTCCCTTTAGAGCTGTGCTTGTGTTCAGCAACATCCAACATCACTCCCCCTTTGTAAATGGACACAGATTGACTGGTTTGTTTCAACACCTCAAATTATTTTATGCTTCAGCAGTGAGAGTAAGAAAACACAAACCCATTACTGAGACATAGTTAAACAGTCAGCCCATTGTTCTCGCTCAGCTGAGCAGAAGAGCAGAACATCTACAAAAACCAGCCAGACTTCTTGTTACGTCTGAGATAATTTTACGTTCTCAGATAGCCTTAGCGCATGTAAATGTTGCCAAGACTACGAATACCAGTCAGTGTTTGCTAAAAATGTTTCACGTCTGCACTAACTGTTCTGACATGTTTTCAGTTTTACAAAACATCCCCAGGCATGATTGCTGTCAAAACTAAAGTAGGCTGAAAATCCCTCAAAAACAATATATCATTTCGGGATATGAAGATCACCTGCAACAGAGAAAATAAAGGAAACAAGTTTTGAAGAGGTGAAAATACCTATCTAAGGCATTAGCTCGCCAGCAAATAAAAGTGAGAAATATTTTCCATAAACAGATTTGACGTGGTACAGTGGTGAACCTTTACAGGGAGCGTACCAAAACCACTCAAATTTCTCATCATTAAAAAGCCCAGAACAACGTTGCAATAATTTTTTCCAGTTGGGGATAGAGTTTAAGACTCTGTAATAATAAATAGACTAAAGAGACTGGGTAAAACTTCAGAACAGCTCCTATTCTATGACAGCTAAATTTAAAACATGTCAGAGAGCATAAGCTTCTGTTAGCTGTTTAAGTTTACAAATTCCTCTTAGCCCAATTGCTGCCCTGTTGTTTTCGCCAAGGATGATGAAATTATTTTGCTGATGCTCCTTTTTTCTAGCTTGTAAAACCTGACTAAATGGGAGGTGAAAGGTGTTATTTTGTCTGAGCCCGATGAATCAGACATCAGAAGATTGCTGATGAGAATAACCTGTTGTTTTTTTTAAACAAACAGCCTGTCCGATATATGGCGAACATGTCCTTCTTAAAAATTAATGAGCTTAGAGCCTCTTCCTGCTCACGTTTCAACGAAAACCCCAAGTCTAATCCTTCCACAACTAATTCCAAAGCTAATTTTGACCGCTGGCGGGTGGGGCTAGTTTACCAGGCT